TAATAATCTTGATTTTACATTTCTTTTACTGACCAGCACCCACAACGAATCATTAGATTAGATTTACATTCATTGTCATTGTGCAGAGTACAGTACAAAGCCAATGAAACGCATTTTTGTTGCATAGCAACCATCTGTTATGCCAGGGACTATAATTTATACACTTATGAATATGCTTGATAAAATAATATTAAGATAAAAATTTGTGTCCTTCATTTTTTTTTTAAATATAATACAGTAACCCAGCAAGTATTTGGATTCATTATTGACACATTAGTGGCATAAATTGTGCAGATAATATTTTGTTAATGCAGTTACATTTACATGTGGCTTAGGTGTCCAAACACTTTTTGGGACCACTGTATATTTTATATTTTTGTACTACCATTCAATATTTTGGGGTCAGTAAGATTTTTTTTTCTTTTGAAAGAAATTTTAACTTTAATTCAGCACGGATGCATTCAATGTAATGGAAAAATTACCACAAAAATATTTAGCAGCAAACTATTTTAAACATTAGCAATAAAAAATATTTCTTGAACAGCAAATCAGCATATTAGAATGATTTCTGACGGATCAAGTGACACTGAAGACTGGAGTAATGATGCTGAAAATTCAGCTTTGCAACACAGGAATAAATTACATTTTAACAGATATTAAAATAGAAAACAGTTATGCTAAACTGTAATAATATTTCACAATATTACTATTTTATTGTGTTTTTTTTTTTCAACCTTTGTGAGCACAGGAGATTTAAGATCAAAAAAATCCTACCGACCCCAAACATTTGAACAGTAGTGTGTCTCAGTATTTGTAACAGCAAACATAATGTAAAACCCATATGCAGACGGGCTGTCAGTTCTGTCCTTCATGCATAGGTCAAGGTGAAATATGCACAGAACCTTCTTTAATGCCGTAGAATGGTCAGAGTGCTGACCTTTGTTGTGTTGGTCCACTTGTCAGACAATGCGGCCTCTCCTCGAAGAGCATCACGCTCAACCTGCAGCTATAATTGGTGTTAACATCATGTTTTCAGGCTTATTTCACACCTACCACTCTTCAGTTACCACAGATGCATCCTGGTAACATAATCTCAAGTGTTTTAATTTACACGGCATACATCAATATACAGCTGTGAAGACACGTGGGATTTGTCTGTGGCTATGATGTTCAAAAGGTGAAATAAAGGCAATAACATATCAGAAGAGTTTGTGTTGTCATCGTCTGTTTAAGTTACTATTACTATTGCTTATACTTGGGTTAGGTTTTTTCCCCCATACCCCTAAACTACAATGTGTAACTCATCCCACACAGTTTGTGATTAAGACATGAATGATACCTCTAACCATGTAGCATGCTGAGGAGAGGTGTGCTATTGCTTCTCTATCCAATCAAATGACCAAAAAATTCCCATAGACTTACACTAAATGATGCACTTGTGTCATATCTAGACACCAGAATATCATAGAGACTTGGAGGTGGGCTCTTTTGATTGGGCCAATGAGCAACTACTTAGCAACCACCTGAACACCTTAGCAACACCCTAGCAACTGCAAAGTAACACGCTAAAAACCTTGCACAACATCTTAGCAGCTCCCTGGCCACCACCCAGATTGTCTTCGCAACTGCATAACAACATGCTAAAACACTTTGCATGTCAGTTTTGCACTGGCTCACACAACATACTTTTTTTTTTTTTTTTTTTACAAAGTTTAGTTTTATAGTATATTAATTCTATTCTATTCTCAATTTTCCAAACTGCTTGTCCTATGTTGGTTCTCAGGAATACTGAAGCCTATTCTATTCTATTCTATTCTATTCTATTCTATTCTCCATTTTACAAACATTTTGTCTTATGTAGGTTCTCAGGGATGCTTCAGCCTATTCTATTCTGTTCTGTTCTATTCTATTCTCAATTTTCCGAACTGTTTGTCCTATGTAGGTTCTCAGGGGTGGTGGAACCTATTCTCTTCTCTTATTTTCCAAACAGCTTGTCCTATGTAGGTTCTTCGGAATGCTAAAGCCTATTCTATTATATTCCATTCCATTCCATTCCATTCTATTCTATTCTATTCTATTCTATTCTATTCTATTCTATTCTATTCTATTCTATTCTATTCTATTCTATTCTATTCTATTCGAGCCTATTCTATTCTATTCTATTCTATTCTCAATTTTACAAACTGCTTGTCCTAAGTAGGTTCTCAGGGATGCTGGAGCCTATTCTATTTTATTTGATTCTATTCTATTCTATTCTATTCGATTCTATTCTATTCTATTCTATTCTATTCTATTCTCAATTTTACAAACTGCTTGTCCTAAGTAGGTTCTTAGGGATGCTGGGGCCTATTCTATTCTATTCTATTCTATTCTATTCTATTCTATTCTATTCTATTCTCAATTTTACAAACTGCTTGTTCTAAGTAGGTTCTCAGGGATGCTGGAGCCTATTCTATTTTTCAAACAGCTTGTCCTATGTAGGTTCTTCGGAACGCTAAAGCCTATTCTATTCTATTCTCAATTTTACAAACTGTGTGTCCTAAGTAGGTTCTCAGGGATGCTGGAGCCTATTCTATTCTATTCTATTTTTCAAACAGCTTGTCCTATGTAGGTTCTTCGGAACGCTAAAGCCTATTCTATTCTATTCTCAATTTTACAAACTGTGTGTCCTAAGTAGGTTCTCAGGGATGCTGGAGCCTATTCTATTCTATTCTATTTTCCAAACAGCTTGTCCTATGTAGGTTCTTCGGAATGCTAAAGCCTATTCTATTCTATTCTATTCTATTCTCAATTTTTAAACTGCTTGTCATATGCAGGTTAAAACAATGTTTATTTTGTTATACAAAATATGACTACTAAATCAACACACAAGTCAAAAATATGCAAAGTGTAGAAAAACACACTGGTAATCAGAAACATCATGTAAACCTATTTTTTTTTTCCATCTCTTGAAAAGAGTGTGGGGAACCAGCTAGCTGTGAATAGATCCTTTCCATTTGCTTGCTATTGATGAAGTCCTGTGTTCATCACGGTCGGCCCAATCAGTGTCTGCAGTCAGGGCGCTCTGAGTGCTCCAGCCTGATTCCAGCCACACATTCTCCATCGATCCACTGGGCTGATCACACACTCATCTGGGGGTCCAGCTCATTTTCTTTGATACTCCACCTCCACCATACTTATTATTACGCTATAAATATCAAAAACAGTCTCCAGTCTCAAATGGTAACAGCACACCCGCACCTCTGCTTCTATATTATGATGTGTTCTCTGAGAAACATTCATATTGCTAATGGATTTAGTGGCTTCCATGTTCAATAGTGCAATTTTTGTGTAAAATGTGTTAAGCTAACAAACAACCGGCTGCTGTCGTAATGTCTGTTTCCCAGGAGAGACTGAATAATCGTTTTACTCTGAGGGTCCAGGCAGACTAGATTGAAGGAGAACAGATTAATCAGGTACTTGACGCAAACTCAGTAAACAATCGCTTTTTAATGTCTCCCAAAGAGGATCTATTTGATTGTCCTTCAGAGAACTGTTTCATCAGCGCATGTTGCTTTAACTGCTGGTCAAATGACTGCTGGTTGGAAGGATGGTATTATTGGGTTTTTTCTCTGATGTAAGGCCACTAATCAAATAGGTGCCATGGTACTTCCATGCTATTTTAATCATGTCTTATGGAATGCTTGGAAGTTCCCTGGAGAACCACGTGAATGGCTTGATTCATAAATAGAGTAAGCATTCAGTACCATGGTACAGTATATATCAAAGTACCATGGTATTACAATCTAATACCATCAATTCCATTGTACCTTTTTAAGGGTATTTTTTGGGATGTACCATCAGTTTGTATACTGATGAGAAAAATATTATGATATAGTATTTGTTTCCCTGGGTATGATTTTCATAAATAATAAAGCTGGAAAATATAAAAATATTTTATAGATAAAAAATAAAAAGTCTTATTGCTTCAAGTGGCCATCTGATAACAATGGGAAAACATCCCTTCCCTTATTAACAGACTTCCCTTTTAAATAATGTAAATGAATGATTACAGTGCTGTAATCCATAATCAGCAGCACATTTTAGAAATAATCTGCCCAATACTGTGTAAAAGCAGGTCTGTGTCAGTTTTTTAAAGCACCAGTTATTGTACTATCATCCATCCATCTATTTCCCAAACCGCTTGTACGTAGGGTCACAGGTGATGAAATAATTTCTGGTAGCCTAAAAAAATCTCTTTATGAAAAAAGAAAAAGATATATTATTAGTCAATATTTTTACTTTCCAAATAATTTCTGGAATAAAACCTCCTATGCCGTATTTTGTAAGACATCATTAGTTAATTTAGCATAACAATATTAGTTATGGCTGCATTTATAATTAATGTATTCAATTAATCAAACCTCATCTGCCATATATTCAGATTATATAATATAGAATATAATAGATTTACTTTATATGGGAAGGGTGTGTGTGTATGTGTTTACAATATGGCTACATATTATAAATTATATTAAGAACACAAGTTTTCATTAAAAAAAAAAGAAAGTATTTGATCAGGAATTAATATGTCATATAAACAATTTTAAGTGGATTTTAGCGCGACTGGAACGCTGTATCGACCACTCAGCGGCCAGAACCAGAACTTTTTGTTTTATAACTCTAGTTTTGTTTCTGACTCCAGCTCTTTATCCAATATTTGTAGAGAATCTTATACCACATAACGCACAAAACAGTGACAATTCATTCCGGTCCCTTTATTAATTCACACAAGCATCAAAAACATACTTTATAGGCTATTTGATTTTTTTTGTCTTCACTTTTTCTTTCCTTTTCTGTTTTAAACTCATTTACAGCAGCTTTCGTTTAAGCATGAACACATATCGTGCATTTTCCTTCATCATGATGATGGTGAAGATGATGATGATGTGAGAGCGTCATCTTATTCTTCAGGCCATGTGTGTTTCTCATTGGTTAGTGTGACTGAAGGTGGGGTTTGAAGATAGCAATCCCAAATCAAAGCCATCTGAGTTTGGAAAAGAGGGATCATGCGATTATAGGAAATGGACAAGGTGATGATCAAAACTCCTCAGAAAGCATAGAAAGCAACCCCGATGAGTGAGTGCACGCAGCTGCTCACTATATAAACAGCAACATGTGGACGAGACGCGCTCAAGTTTCCTGATCACACCGACTGTCAGAACAAAGCGGCGCAAACGCGACGCGCTCCAGCGTTTGAGCGATGTGTGGATTATTACCGCGCGTATTATTATGAGTGGCCATGGCGTGGTGTGACCGTGGGATTCAGATGCTGCTGGCAACCGTGGGGGCTTTCGTGGCGTTTAGTCTGATGAGCATCGCCATCGGGACCGACTACTGGCTTTATTCTCGGGCATATATCTGTAACGCCACCAACAGCAGCACGGACGAGACGCAGACGCAGCCCAAGGTCCGCGGAGATCTCACGCACTCAGGGCTCTGGAGGATCTGCTGCATAGAGGGTACCATGTGCTTCTCATCCTTTCTTAGGCTTGAGTTTTAAAAGAGAGAAAACTAAGTTCATTGTTCAGTCTTTGTCTTCACTCAAAGAAGTCTTGCTTTAGGAGGCTTTTGTTCTTTTTCTGCGTCCAGGTGAACTCAAAACATTGAATAACCTACCCAGATACATTAAAGTGAACCAAAATCACTGTTGTTTTTCATAAACAGGCCTTTAGCAAAGAAACAACACACGTGTGAGATCTTTTATATCTTCTAGACAGCAAATGAAGAATTCTACTGAAAACCCAGAAGAATAGACTCTTAAAAGTAAAGGTGCTCCGCGATGCCATAGAAGAATCTTTTTTGTCTATAAAGAACCGTTAACATCGGAAAAACCTTTCTGTTTCACAAAAGGTTCTTTGTGGCGAAAGAAGGTTCTTCAGATTATATAAAGGTAAGAAAGAGATGGTTCTTTAAAGAACCTTTGACTGAATGGTTCTTTGTAGAACCAAAAATGGCTCCCTTTTAAGCACCTTTAATTTTAAGAGTGTAGACTAGAGTTTCAATCAAAGTGAGCTCAAATGATTTTGTAGATCACAGTATGTGCGTCGTCTGACATTCATGAATTTAGGGAGAAGCATCTAAACCATAGTTCATATCATGCAATGAAAAAGTGGTAAAATGGTCCTCTGGGTGGCCTTTCGTCCACAGGATCTGTCAACAACTCATCCGAACTCATTCACTGGGCTTGGATCTCTCTCAAGTTAACATAACTTGACGTTCACTTGGAAGGGAGTGAAAATGCTCCCCATTTCTCTGGGTTGACACCAGCGGGTTTCTGGAATGGACAGAAAGGAGTAATCAGTCCAGAGATTCTCCTCATAAAACCTCTTCCTTCATTCATGTCTTTCTTTCATTTGATGCTGTTGCTTGGAAACAATATGTCTGAAATCACTATGGTAACGTAGCTAATGTTTAAAAATAGATGAATCTGTTGCTTATGAATGTCTGTTGAAAAGAAAAAGACACGAGAGACAGGCGGACGGATAGACAAACAGATGTTTAATAGCCTATATATTTGTATAATTTCGAGAGAGGAAAGGTTTTTCCCACAACATATGCAATTTTGGCAGAGCTTTGACCCAGACAGTCAGACTGATTATTACATCATACATACGTTCATAGGCTAAAGAAGGACACCATAGTTGATGAACAGTGGTTGCTTATCTTTTAATAAAAGTCGAATGATAACGTCGTCAGGCTTCATTTTAAGAGCAGAACTCATACTGACAAAATAAAATCAATTTGTTTCTCAGGAAATTAGTTGACACCGGTAATTAACCGCTACTTAGTGTATTGTCATTTTATAGTGTGAAAACATTTGATTTTCACCCGCTGAAAGAAGAAACCTAATTCAGTTTCCAATCAAAATTTCAAAATTTATTTTATTTTATAATTTTATTTAATTTTATTCAAGTCCTGCTGATATCCAAAGTCAACAGGGCCATGGTTTATGTTTTTGTATTTTCTTATTTAATTCAAACTGATCAAAACATGTGTAGGCCTATCTAGAATGATACAGTTTTGACCCCATTTCTTACTTGTTGTACATGTTTCTCATGTACTGTAAATGAAATCTAATTAACAAATAATTAATGGTAAATTACTGTATAATAAATAAACGACTTCAAACTTTTGCATCACGTAACAAAAATTTGAAATAAAATAGAATACGTTTTTTTCTTTTGTTTCTTTTTTTAACATTTATTAAGGTTTTATTCAATTCAAGTTTATTTAGGTTTATTACTTAAACATAAATAAATACCTGAACTGTACCATATAAAATAAAATTAAATTAAACAAATAAATAATCAATAAAATAGGCCTTGAGCCCTGAGTGTATTTAATTGACTACGGTTATTATTCTTTTGTTTGTGAGATTAGGGGGTATTGGAAGAGAAGAGCTGTCACTTTTGCCATTCTCAGTGTGCGCAACTGATCTGTAATTAAATGCAGTGGCTGAAAGGCCACAGAGTCTCTAATTAGCCACTGAGTTTGACTTCCACCACGATCCACATTGAATAACACAGTCATAACGAGTTTTGAGCACGTGCCAGGTGCCTTACCGTCATTCTCGCCGTTCACCTTTCCTGCATAAACCTCAAATAAACAACCTGAATTAATCAATAATGTCAATGATAGATAAGTGATGAAAATAAATACTGCTTTGTATTTAGTCATTCCTTCTGTCATTAATAAAAATATATTTTAAGAACAAAAAACAATAGTTTTTTCATTTTTTAGTGGAAACTACAGTAAACAGAGGTTTTTCAAATTTTTATTGTTTATTCTTTTTTAAACATACATAACAACGTAGACAATCAGCCACGCAACAGTGTGTGGTACACAAAACTATGGAGCTCCGCACATGGCATGCAGGAAAAAACTAGTAGACTAAATTGTGTGCACGATTTACTATTTCGTTCCCTCGATTTGCTAAATCGTGCACACGATTTATAAATCGAGAGAATGAATTAGTAAATTGTGCGCACGATTTAGCAAATCGAGGGAACGAAATAGTAAATCGTTCGCACAATTTATTTATTTTTTCTTGCATGTCATGTTCCGTACAAAACAACAGCAATGAAATAAAAATAAAATAAATAAATAAAATACAATAAAAAAATAAACCCCTAAGTAATTATATGAAATAAAAAAACAAAAAGAAATAAATAGACTTGTCAATTACACAGAAGAGTAAATGACAAAAGACACATCAAACAACCAAATGACGCAAATATGCAGCAAAATATATATACAATTCTGCATATTCAAATATACATATTCAAATACATATACAAACATCTAGGGAGAACTTTATTTAATAGAGTTTTAAAAGATTTATCTGAGAGTCTGCTTCCTTCTACTGTACTAATGAATAGTATTACTTCAGTGTTTATATACTATTATAGTATTTATTTAGTATAATATTTTTGGAATTAGCCTATATTTTTATTTTTCAGTTTTCATTTTAAATATGTTTAAGATTTAGTCATTTTTGTTATGTAATTTTGACATTATTATTATTATTTCTGTTTAGCTTTCATTTTCATTTCAGATTTAGTTTTAGTAATTTTAGTACTTCAACTTATTGCAGTTAGTTGCAAGGAAACATTTCTAATTTTCATTCTCATTTAAGATTTTTTAAAGCCTTTTTCAGTTATTTATTTATTTATTCATTCATTCATTCATTCATTTATTCAATTTTAGTTTATCTTAGTTTAGTTTTTATTTTAGTTTTAGTTAACTATAGCAGTGCCAGTGAGACATCATTGAACGTTCTTTTTTTGTTATGTATATGAATAAAAAGCATCATGATGGCATTTTAATATTATAATTGAATTTTTACATTTCCCATGTCACTGCAATGCAAGCGTGTGGCTGTTTGTTAGGGCTTTGTTATATGGTTGCTCAAGAATTGAAAGTGACCACAACATTGTTATGCAGTTGCTAGGGTGTTCTGGGTTGTTGCTAGGGTGTTGCTAAGTGGTTTCGAAGATGTTCGGATTGCTTGCTAGCATGCAGTTCCTCCTTCAGTGAAAATAAACTTGAGAAATGATGTCCAAATTATAATACTCAGTTTTAGTAGTTTGTTGAACTCCCTAACGGTAAGTATCCACAATAATAATACTGATACTTACCTCAGCAAAGAAGCCACGGTGTATCGCCAAGGCAGTCTTCATATTGATCGATTTGAGATGACAAACAAAAGCACACTTCCCCAGCACGCAAACCACTGATTGGTTTAACTTCTCGACAAGGCAAACGATTGGCTGCCCTACCCCAATTCACAGTTATGACAAAATGCTGGAGGCGGCAGAAGGCGGGGAATATGGCAGTTGTTTCCTTGCTGCGCTGGATGTGCTCAGTAGGGATGTGGATTTGCGAGGCAGGAGGGGACTTTTGGCATGGGGGAGACGAGTGTGTTGCTGTCTGCTGTATTAAACCACAATGAAGATGTCAAAGTCATTCTTGGAGCCATTATGGAAATCAGATTGTTGGATCAGACCTGAGGTTGCCATGGAGAAGACATGCTCAGCGATGAGCATTGTTACCTCCAGGCGGGCCGCAGGGACCGAGCGCTCGTTTTCTCCTCTCTCGCGCTCCCTCTCTGATGTGCCTCCGTGTCAGTCAAGCGAGGTTCCTTATTTTGTCTTTATGAGGCTAGGTACACTTCAGTCACTGGGCCAATAACCAGCTCCTGTAAATCAACAGCCTGAGCGGAGCTTTACATAAGATTCAATGGCTCACCACACTCACTGTACACACTTACAGAAGTTATAAAGTCTGTCAAAGAGCCTGTGTGGATGTACAGTGTGGTCTCGAAGTCTGAGAACACACTGGAAATGGCTGATTTGTTTAGTTAAACCTGGAAGTAAACAGTGTCGTTAAACGTTTGAACTTTGAAGGGTCCAGATCTTTGCCACCGGGTCTTTGGATCATTTTCACATCATGTTGGTGATCAGGTTTTGTTTTTACTGTTAAATAATTTTCCATTTTTATATTAAATTACAAAAATGATCGTTTAAGATGTCCATGAGAGATGCTGAAGGCCTTGGAATCAAATAAACTGGGGACAATACAACAAATAAAGATGTACAATATTTCTGGCATATGTTAACGAAGAGGAGAAGAGAAGAGAAGAGAAGAGAAGAGAAGAGAAGAGAAGAGAAGAGAAGAGAAGAGAAGAGAAGAGAAGAGAAGAGAAGAGAAGAGAAGAGAGAAGAGGAGAAGAGAAGAGAAGAGAAGAGAAGAGAAGAGAAGAGAAGAGAAGAGAAGAGAAAAATGACCAATATTTCTGGCATATGTAAACAGAGAGAATAGAATAGAATAAAGATGTACATTATTTCTGGCATATGTAAATAGAGAGAGAATAGAATAGAATAAAGTTGTACGGTATTTCTGGCATATGTAAAAAGAGAATAGAATATAATAAAATAGAGTAGAATATAGTAGAACAGAATATAATAGAATATAGATGTACCATATTTCTGGCATTTGTAAACTGAGAGAAGAGAAGAGAAGAGAAGAGATGTACAATATTTCTGGCATTTGTAAACAGAATAGAATAAAGATGTACAATATTTCTGGCATATGTAAATAGAGAGAGAATAGAATAGAATAAAGTTGTACAGTATTTCTGGCATATGTAAAAAGAGAATAGAATAGAATAGAATAGAGTAGAGTAGATCAGAATATAATAGAATATAGATGTACCATATTTCTGGCATTTGTAAACTGAGAGAAGAGAAGAGAAGAGAAGAGAAGAGAAGAGAAGAGAAGAGAAGAGAAGAGAAGAGAAGAGAAGAGAAGAGAAGAGAAGAGAAGAGAAGAGAAGAGAAGAGAAGAGAAGAGAAGAGAAGAGAAGAGAAGAGAAGAGAAGAGAAGAGAAGAGAAGAGAAGAGAAGAGAAGAGAAGAGAAGAGAAGAGAAGAGAAGAGAAGAGAAGAGAAGAGAAGAGAAGAGAAGAGAAGAGAAGAGAAGTAAAACAAGCATAAGAGAAGAGAAGAGAAGAGAAGAGAAGAGAAGAGAAGAGAAGAGAAGAGAAGAGAAGAGAGATGTACAATATTTCTGGCATTTGTAAACAGAGAGAATAGAATAAAGATGTACAATATTTCTGGCATATGTAAATAGAGAGAGAATAGAATAGAATAAAGTTGTACAATAGTTCTGGCATATGTAAAAAGAGAATATAATAGAATAGAATAGAGATGTACAACATTTCTGGCATATGTAAATAGATAGATAGAAAGAACAGAACAGAATAGAATAGAAAAGAAAAAGATCTACAACATTTCTGTCATATGTAAAAAGAGAAAGTGAATAGAACAGAACAGAACAGACTAGAATAGAATAAAGATGTAAAATATTTCTGGCATATGTAAATGAATAGAATAGAGTAGAATAGAATAGAATAGAATAGAATAGAATAGTTTTTTGTAATGAATTTATAATGAATAATTTTGTCATTATACACAGGTGCAATTGAACTCTATTTTGGCTTCTCCCTTGTAAATAAATATGAAAACTAAAGAATAATACTTATAACCAATAGATAAATAAATAACAATTAAATAAGTAAAAGCTATATAAAAGCAATAGTTGCATTATCCATATTAAAATGCATGAGCCATGAACATTCTGTTTTTGTCTCCAACAGACAAAGAAGTATAGATTAACATAATATCACATCAACTATCTGTCATACTACTAATTATTGGCCAATGTTAGTGGTCAACATTTCTGCATATGTGCATCACTAATTAGAAAGCAAAACTTAAGTGCCCACTGGGAAAGAGGATCATTGTTTCTCCTCAGTTTTTTACTGAACAGCATCCCATTGTTGATGGATTTTATTACACAGTTTTGTCTTAAGGGGTTCCAAGGATAGGTTGTGACCCACGAACAAGATTTATTCTGAGGTTCATTAGTATACCGTTCTCACTGTGTACCTTTTATAAATACTTCATTAAATACTTTTTCTGATTGGTTAAAAAGTCTCATACTGAAATGCAGTTTTAACTTTGTAAGAACCAATGTATTCAGATTCAGCATGACATGGAGTTGGCATCACATTTTACTTTAGTAATGTGACATACTTTAGAGTGAAATAGGATATTTCAAAAGAAAGCAGCATAGGGTGTCACTTCACATGTTGGTAATTGATTAACTGATGAAAAGTGGTCTCTAAATAAGACCACAAATGTGTATTAAAAATTGAATTTGGATCTCATAACTGTATCTTATAACTCTAAAAAATACAAAACCAGAAGATAATACCATGGTAATATGATAGACACAATGATACTAGAGGATATTCATATTCATATTCATATTCATATTCATGTACCATATTATTTACATGTTACTCCAAGATGCTTCAAAGAATACTACAAATAATACCACAAATAATAGAATACCATTCTATCTATATAAAAAAAAAAAATCTGTGACATAATGTTTCAGATTCAAATTATATATCGTTTTACATTACAATATTTTACAGAGATTTTTTTTTTTTTACAATGACTAGACTAGAAAACACATGCCCCACTTTCTCAGACCTATTTAATACTAATTAATTTGCTCCTTTTTTAACACTAGACCCAATTAATGGCATGCTGGGCCACACAAAAGCTGTGTCACAGGGAGTAGACTCCACCTGGAGACAGACAGAGCGAGGGAGGTTTGCAATGTGACACTTTATGATGTATGTTAAGACCTGCTGAACACATCTCCCCGCTTAAAGTCAAGATCAAATAAAAACAAAATCAACCCAGTAACTTTCTTAATACACATTCCTGGTCTTTCCAGAGAAAATCATAAAGCTTGCTCTTACTCTGAAACAACTTTACTTTTCTGTTGACATCAGCTAGGTCACGTGGGCTACTAGTTTAATGTTAACCAATATCCAAATAACCTTTTCAATATTTCAATATTTGTTTAGGTCTGTTATAGGTTATGCAGGATTTCTAAAATGTTTCCAGTGGTTAATGCAGTCATTTAATGTTACTGTAATGTTAACAGTTAATAGTAAAGAATCAAAGAATATGAAATAATAGCAAATAACAACTCATTGGAAAAAGTCTTGCCAAGTTGAACTTTTGGCCAAGTTTAATTCACATTATGGAATTAAAATTGGTTGTGAATATGGTTTTATACCAGTTTTTTTTTTTTTTACATTTTAAATACAGAAAATGGCCATAAAACTTTTTTTGAGATTGCCTTTTCTGGTAAATACACCATACACATTTTTTGACTTCAGAGTGACAGATGATGATAACATACAGTGGTGTGAAACAGGTACAGTCCTGTTTTTTTTTTTTTTTTTACATTTTTTGCAACCAACGTTTTTTTTTTTTAGATAATGTAATCTTGTTAAAATTGATTTCATAAAATTGGTATCGAAAAAAGTATCGTTCAGGAACCGGTATCAAAGTCAAAGTATCGGTATCGATATCGAACATTTTTGAACGATACCCAGCACTACATAGAATACATTTTTGCTTTTTAAAACACGAGATGCCATAAAAATATATCCAACTGCAGAGCCGCAGTTCTGATGAATGGAAAAGAAGGCAATGTTTCAAGACACATTTTTAAATATGCAATGCTCATATGCAAGATGCTGAAAAACACTGCTAGCCAGTAGAAATTAAATCAAAATTATGCTATAGAAGAATTGCGTTTACATACAAAACATTGCATTTGATGGCATTTGAAACTGTATTGGAGCATTTACAGCATTTTGGATGTAAACAATACTGCAATGCTGAGCCTATTGGCTTGCCATACATCTAGCGTCATGTTTACATAGAAAGATAATTGCATCATCTCCTTCAGAACAAGCCCAAAGCAGACTTCTTACTTAACTGTGTCTAGACCTTGTACATGCTCATACCGGTAATATTATGCTTTGTTCACACATAGCATCAAAACAGTAATTTACTGGTAATTTTCCAGAAAGGGTTGTATGTGTGAAAGCCCCTGTTGACTTTAAAATCTGTCACTGAACAATTTCAAGGCTTAAAATTAAATCCTCTACTGCTTCATAACAGAACAAATTCCTACCATATGCAGGATGTTTTTGTTATTTGTTTAATAGTTTATTCTACTAACCAGTATTCTCACTTATGCTTGGAGATTTGCATTGTTTCCAGGTCCTCACGACTCTAATCTCGACCGTTTTCATATTTTTGTAGGTCTCAACAAAGGAAGTTGTTACAGAATCAATCATTTCCCAGATGACAATGACTATGACACAGACAGCTCTGAATATCTCTTACGTGAGTGACTCTCTCTTCAGAAATGTTACAGTGTTACTGTCTATATCTCAATGTTCTTATCATGCACATTTAGATATCTTGCTAAAGTAAAAGCCATGTTTATATGTATGTGTGAACAGGTATTGTGCGCGCCTCCAGTGTGTTCCCCATCCTCAGTACCATTCTGCTGTTGCTGGGGGGGCTATGTGTCGGGATAGGACGCATCTACAACAAGAGGAACAACATATTACTCAGTGCAGGGATACTATTTGTGGCAGCAGGTAAACTTGCTAATGACCATCTGCTAACATCCACACAGGGGTCTTTTAACTCACTTAAGACACTTTTAGCACCATTACCAAATACAATTTGTTAACTGAATATAACTGGAATATAATATAGGAGAATTTCTATGCTCTGATAGCACAACTTATCCCTGCTGTTACTGGCAGGTGAACTGGAACTGAGGGGGCGACAACTCCCCCACTTTTTTTCATTGGTAGCTGTTATTCAACCGAATTTAGTGAGTTGATATTACTTGTTCTAAAAGTGCCTTCCTTTTATTCACTAAAGTTTCATCACCTGATACACCTACTGTAAAGTTGGTGAAAAGACTTTAACAAAACGGTAAAAGACTGTATAAAGTATTAGGCTAGTAGTAAAAGCAGCACTAGGCTAGATGGCATAGTGTGTCTTGGCGGGTCATGCATTTCCTAGATGCTGCAATTGCAATTGTTGCTAATTACCACAGTAATCTGTATCGGCATGTCTACAATATTAGAAAGGTCAAGATCCACATGTAAATCAAGTGGTTTATAATACCTGGTAAGCTATCCGTTAGCATTCCCATTCATCTCAATAGCAGTTTTTCAACAAGATGGTAATGTTACAACATAAACCGGCAGGGGCTAATTGGACCATGCTAATGTAATGGAGTCTAGCTCCGAAGAATTGTGCAGGTAAAACTCACTCTCCTGGCCTCAAGGCTAGAGGCTATGTTCTTTAGCAACCTTGTTAGCATTCCCATCACGCATGACAGTTGACACTGGTTCAAATCCCTCTCAAAATGGTGCAAGTAGGACCAGTTACATTGGTGCCTTGACCCAAATAGGAGTGAGGTTTAAGGGGGTGAGTGACAGAGGCAACTAGTAAGAGCTATGCAGGTAGATCTCACTCCCTTGGCTTCAAGAGGCACATTAGCAATTGATTCTAGAGGCTGTGGTCTTTTGCATCTTTGTTAGTGGATTGCCTCCCATGCTGATTGACGCTGGTTCAAATCTTGATGCCATGACCCGGATGGGAGTGAGCTTTAGGGTGGAAAGTGTAACAGAGGCAAGCTTTGCAGGTAAACCTCATTCCCCTGGCCTCAAGGCTAGAGGCTATGTTCTTTAGCATCCTTGTTAACATTCTTGCTGCGCATGGCAGTTGACACTGTTTCAAATCCCTCTCAGGGAGGTGCTAGTAGTACCCGTTACATAGGTACTGTGGCCCAAATAGGAGCGAGGTTTAGGGGGTGAGTGACAAAGGCAAGACAGTAAGAGCTGTGCACATAGACCTCACTCCCTTGGCCTCAAGAGGCACACTAGCAACTAATGTTAGAGTCTGTGGTCTTTAGCATCCTTGTTAGCGGATGGCCTCCCATGTTGGTCGACGCTGGTTCAAATCTTGGTGACATGACCCGGATGGGAGTGAGATTCAGGTTGAGTGTAACAGAGGCAAGCTGTGGAGGTAAACTTTACTCCCCTGGCCTTAAGAGGCATACCACCAACTCATGCTAGAGGCTGCAGTCTTTAGTATTCTTGTAAGCATGCCCGCCTCTCATGCTGGTTGACGGTGGTTTGAACCTAGCTCATTGTGGTGCATGTAGGACCAGTTACAGCAGGGGTAGCCAACCCTGCTCCTGGAAGGCTAACTTCCTGTATAGTTTAGCTCCAGTCTTTATTATACACACCTGAACCTTCAAATCAAAGTGTTCAGGGTTACTTCAAAAATAACAGACAAGTGTGTTTTAGCAGGTTTTGCTACCCTGAGTTACACTAACCAGCCAAACATAACATAAACCCTTGACATAAACACATGCTGCTCAGAAGACATTTGCAGCCTGTGCCAAGTGCCATGTCTACATTAATATTAACCCCTGAGAAAATCTATCCCATTTTGTCTAAAATCTGTTTTGTTGGTTCGTACAACTGAAGGCTGCTCAACCTGCAGTGTTAACCTTTCAATGTTGACATATCCCAACCAACTGAATGTAACATCTTGGTGTTGGAATCCACATTTATCCATATATTTATCCTTTTAACCAAGGAAAAGTTGAATAAAGTCTTAAGTCTGTTATATTACTTCATATCAAGGAATTTTTCTTATGCTTTCCTGGCTCTGTTTTGTGTCTGGCAGGTTTGAGCAACATCATCGGTATAATCGTCTACATCTCCAGCAATGCCGGTGACCCCAGTGACAAACGAGACGAAGACAAGAAGAACCAGTATAACTATGGTTGGTCGTTCTACTTCGGAGCGCTCTCTTTCATTGTGGCTGAGGCAGTGGCCGTTCTGGCTGTCAGTATCTACATTGAGAAGAGCAAGGAAGTACGATTCAAAGCGCGTCGTGAGTTCATCAAGTCTACCTCGTCCTCTTCACCGTATTCTCGCATACCTAGCTTTCGCTATCGTCGACGGCACTCGCGCTCCAGCTCTCGTTCAACAGAAGCATCTCGCGAAGCATCACCTGTGGGCATGAAGAGGATGAGCTCGGTGCCTGTCGGAGAGATCAGCATGTACACATTGACAAGAGACCCCCTCAAGTCAGGGACGGACGGCTCCTACAGCCCAGACCACGATTCGGGATTCCTCCAAGTGCACAACTGCTTTTCCAAAGACCTTAATGATGGTATCAGCAGGAGGACAACACCTGTATGAGGGTACACACTGGAATGGAAGAGATAATGTTAAGGCCATACTGAATGGATAGCCATCAGGGCTCAGTGGCCTGTGGCAGATGCCAGTGGAAGGGACACTCATTGGTGAAGGCAGTCAACCAGTGACGTCTCTCATCGGTGAAGGAGAAGCAGGAAAGAAGTTAAGAAGGAAAGATTTCATCTTGACATTCAACAACCATTGTGAACACGCTAATTTGTTTTTCTCCTTGCTTGGTCCTCACATATAAACAGGAACTTTCAGAGAGGCTCATCTCTCATCAAAGGGCAAGACATGCAAATGTAAAATGGATGGTCTTTGGCAGATATTAAGAACTTTGAGTAAGCCAGTCCATTCCCTTGGTTGATAAATATCTTTTTGTTTGTCAGTACAGTGCCATACTCTCAATGTATACCAATGTGATAATGACTCTCACAGTATGAGATGGTGCTAACATAGGCTCACAGCTGGAGCCTTCCCACTATTGTGTGTTCAGTACAGACTCGAATTGAATACTGAACGCCCTTGTTCGTGTCATATGTTTGTAGCCACAGTTGTCTATTCAGTGTGCCTATCATCTTGGCAGTATCAACTGCTCAGACTTACTCTGGAGCCACTTTGCAACAGTGCAAAACTGTATTCCTCTCGTTTTGTTGTTGTTGTTAACTAGAAATATCAGTTGTATTACTAAATAATCACTGGGACAATTTAGTTTAGGAGATTTATGACTACTAATTGTATATAAACACCCTGCTGAAAAGACCAGCTTGGATTTTCATGATGTTCTGACTGGTTTGTTCTGGTCTGGTGCTTTCCTATGTGGCGAACCTGCTTAGACATGCTGTTCATCAGCAAAATTTGACCAAGGAAGTCTTGCTGGTTAAAGTCAGCATGATATAGTATTTGCAACCTATTTTATTTTTGTCATATGACGTATCTCTGAATGAAAGGCTGGATTGGACTTTGCCCATTGGAAACTGATTGGATTCTGAAAAGTTTACTCACGTTCCAAATAAAAAAAAAATTCCAATAATGTCCAGGCAGCTATTTTCCATATAAAGAATGTGAATGAGAATCGGGGCTGTAGTTAACCAGAATTATGTCTTTAATCATCTCCATGATACCAGTTGCAATCACCAGGCTGGAAAGGAAGATTATCAGTGAATAATAACTTGGATTACTAATGGACTACTATTATGATGCTTTTTTGTCAAGTGTACCTTATGACTCATACACGATATTCCAAGTGACTGAACCATTGAGTCACCTTAGAAGGAAATCAGTCCAATAAATGAATCATTCCAACTGTTTGTGTGAACTTGATTGTACAAAATACACTGAAATGATTCGACTCAAATGAACGATTTGTTCACAAATCAGATGTTGAAGCTCGACAGCCCCCATTGTCATTCAATTTGATTATATGGAAAAGGGTGGCCAGGATATTTCTTTAAACGAATGAGTAAAGTTGATGGAGCATGAGCAGAGCCAGACCAGTGGGTGAAACTTACATTACTTTGGTGACATCAACCAAAAAGGAAAATGATTTCAGCTGCAGTTTCTTTTGAAAGATAACAAAGACAGGGAAAGATTATAGAGACCTTTTTCCATGTGCACTGATGAGTCATAATGCACAATAATCCCATAGATATTTATTAAGCAAGTAAATTGAGTTTTGATTTTATGTTGTGTTTAAGCTAGTTCAGAAGTCAGGTTTAGACTCCAGGGTTCCTTGCCCAGCACCAGCGTCCAAAACACATCATATGATGGTGACCAGCTCTAATGGTCTTTTCAGCAGGGAAATATAGCAGTATTCAACAGGCCTCACGTTTTCTACTATCACTTCGAATTCTGACTGCCATTGATAGTAGATCAACAAGTGTCAGTAGTTAACCAGCCAGTGTCGTCGCTTTCCATTGTGAATCAGTCAAAGAGTGATGTAATTCCTCAGCCTTCATCTCCATCGAGGGGTTTCACCTCTACTAAAGCTCGGCCTTTGCCTGAATGTGGGTTAAATATAGCCACTCCTTCTCGTGAATTTGAGTGATGGCTGTGGAACGTCTGAATGGGGCACCTTTGGGGATCTGACATTGTTTGAGTCCGCTGAAAAATGTCAGACATCCGGAAATGAAAGACAAGTTTTGAGCCGGTCAGCCCTGACAAGCATTTCAGCGACTGCTGATAAGTATCTAGGGCAGAGCAGTATGAAAGACATCAGTGTGGCCGATCCAGCCCTTTAGAAGACCATTCAAAGTGTCTTAGCCTCACCAGAGCCTTATGCCTGGATTTCTCTTTGAGTCGACAATATAACCTCATCTCTTCTTTGTTACTGCTGGTTTTCCTCACCCATCTCGTATCCCCTCGACAGATCCTTAGTGAAGAATCTATAGCTTTTTCCCACTAAGGACTGCATTATCCATGTGAGCGGTCAAATCCGTATCACTAAAAGTGTTTCCTCACAAAAGGAGAGGTTGCAGGGTAGATGTAAATATCTGGTAGATGTTTCACTAAATTGAAGCATTTACAGCTACCTTTTCTTAGTAAAGCCATTTTGACACAAGCTTTTGAGCCATGGCTCTTTGTAGAACGGTGTGTGGTGGGTAGATGTAAATGTTTGCATGTTTTTCTCTAACCCATTGACTTTGTGTGCTTTTAACAGTATTATTAACAGGATGACTCTAGGATGCCTCACTGCCAAGCATCGCTCACTATAAATACCTGTAATGTTCTCTCTGTTCATCACGGAAGGCATTTTGTCCTTCTGGTTTTCTTGATTTGCTAATGTTGTTCTCAGTATTTCTCTGGATCACGGACAAGTCAACATATCGTTGCTCACATAAATAAATTGAATCGAGGAACGGTGTCTCGCTTATGCATATGTGCTTTGTTATGTGAATTTTATTGTTTTGTAACGGGACTAGGAATAATAAAACAGCCTAGCAGCCTATATTTGCATAATAAAGAACCTAATTAGAAAGACGATTTGTTTTTGGCATTTGACGCTTTAAAGTACATCTAAAGATCTATTTTAAAGGTTAGACAGATCATGTGACTTTAATGCGAGAGTCAATCCTGCCATAACTTACGCATTCTGCCATTATTTACTCACCCTCATCTCATTCCAAATCCATTTTTTCAATAATGTCAAGGCAGCTATTTTCCATATATTGAAAGCATGACTGATGATTGGTGCTTTAATTGATCAAAATTATGTCCGTATTCATCTGTTTTTTAAAAAGGTCAATAGACTGACTTCATGATGCCAGTTGCAATGGTTAACCTGACTGGAAAGGAAGATTATCAATGAATATTGGCTTGGATTACTAATGGGCTACTATTATGATGCTTTTATTTCAAGTTGTCCTTATGACTCATACACTATATTCCAATTGACTCAATTATTGAATCACCTGAGAACTGAATCAGTCCAGTGAATGAATCGTTCCAACTGTTTGTATGAACTTGATTGTATAATATACACTGAAAAGTTGTTCACGAATCAAATGTAATTTTGAAGCTTTACAGCCCCAGTCCTCATTCACTTTCATTATATGGAAAAGGGTGGCCAGGATATTTCTTTAAAAATTGACATTTTTAGTTTTTAGTTATGATTTAGTTGCATTATGGTCATACAGGTTTGAAATTACATGAGTAAATGACAGAATTATAAAGCACACGTGCTGTTCCTCCTCTATGAATAATGCTGAGATACTTTGAGGATGAAACAAAATGAGGAATGTCATGTAAAATGTAAAAACAGGCCAAAATGTCAACATTTTGAACATTTTCTGACACAATCCAGTGATTGAACTTCCTGTCTCTGAACTGTTTTGACACCTAAAATAAATGAGATTTTCTTGCACTTGTGTATAACTAGTGAGTCTGGCCTTCCAGTGACATTTATGAATGGTTTGAATCTTTGGTGAATTCCATATTCCTCTTACCTCTCAGTAATGGGATATGAGCTAAAGAGTCATTTATTTAAAAGCAGGCTGTTCGTTAATCTTCAAAGCAAGGACATCAAAACAAGTTTTTACCACTTTAACAGAAGAAGAGCATGAAGTAGTCACACAACAATGACAATTGGTGGTGTTTGGGTTATCACAATTGCTTATTTTTAGGATTATGGATTTAAACAACCCCCTAACCATATAAGTATTAAAGTGAATATTCTTGTCCTGCACCATTTGTGCTTCAGACATGAATTATACCTCAAATTATGCAACATGTTAAAGAAAGGTGTGCTTTTATTATTCTAAGAGATCTATGGAAGATTATTTACACCAAAAATAGAAACATTTTAAAGGTAATCGCAACTATTTAATTGCAACTGATTTCAGATTTATTTTCACACAGTTCTGAGTTTATATCTCAAAATTCTGACTTTTGTTCTCACAAGACAAAGAAAAGTGTAATTGCGAGTTAATCACTGACTTTTTTTTGGATATAAATTTGTAATTCTGAGAAAAAAAGTCTTACTGCATGACGTCTTTTGCTCAATTCTGTGAAAAAGATCCAAATTGTGAAATAGAAACAGATCTGTGAGAAAAATAATTCTGAATAGTGAAATAAAAAGTTGCAATTACCTTTTTATTTTTATTCTGTGACAGAAACAAGCTTCCATTGAGATCAGACTTCATATTTTTGCTTGTACATCAATAAAATGCCATATCTTTTGACCAGAATATTAATACGGTGGGCTCTAAAAAATAAAAAATGCTGGGTTAAATATAACCCAGCGCTAGGTTAAAAAGGGACAAACCCAGCTATTGGGTTATTTTGACCCAGCGGTTAGGTTGTTTTGAACCCAACCGCTGGGTCAAAACAACCTAAACGCTGGGTCAAAACAACCTAACCGCTGGGCCAAAACAACCTAAACGCTGGGTCAAAACAATCTAAACGCTGGGTCAAAACAACCTAACCGCTGGGCCAAAACAACCTAAACGCTGGGTCAAAACAACCTAACCGCTGGGTCAAAACAACCTAAACGCTGGGTCAAAATAACCTAACCGCTGGGTCAAAACAACCCAATAGCTGGGTTTGTCCCTTTTTAACCCAGCGCTGGGTTATATTTAACCCAGCATTTTTTAGAGTGTTGGGTCGGTAAGAAACCCCCCCCCCCCAAAAAAAAAACCTGGCAATCCAACAGCAACAACGTGGGTAAGCACCAGTAACATTTTCTTTAGAAATTTGAAATCAAACTGCTTTAGATCTGTGTGCATATAAGGTAGTGTCTTTTTAAATAATGAAACAACACAAACATTGTTAGAAGGAAAATACTCTTCACCATGACATTCTTATTCTGTAATGGTACAGTCTTTGACCTTGCCAATAAGAGCGTTTGTCTCCATCCTCTCTAATAGTCTTCATTATTAACCGGCTGTTTACTCAGTATTAAGAAATTAGTCCATCTGAATGGCCCTGATCAGCCGTGTTCTGCCGCATTACTGCCCACCGTGTCTGTGGCACAGATTAAAGCTGATGGAGAATGGTACAAACCGATTTGGTATGCGACAGTTCTATTTTCAGTGACCTTTATGGAGATGGCCCAGAGGGTTTGGGTAATCTAATTTAGCTTGAATAATATTGCCTGTCATTAGGAAATGCATACAGTCTATTCACCTCCTCCTTCAGCCTTGCATATAATCTGAAACCAATCACCATTGTCTTTCCATTTGGAAGCTAACGCATTTAAAGGAATCAAATTGTTATTTATTTGAATTCAAAGGAGCCTAATGAAACACTCGTGACAAGATGAGATTGATTTTGCATTGTGGCTGTCATGTACTTGCGACACGCTCGGCAAAGTGAACTTTAGACCGCGTTAGCCGTATCGGCGATTGGAGATTGGGTTTCCCAGCTGTGCAGTGCGATGGTGACACACAGAGGTAAAGATGCTGCTGCGTTGACGTTGATTGTGACAGACTGGGCGAGATGTTTCTCATCTGTTGCATGTGACCCACAAACATCAGGGTCTGTGTGATAAAACTGTAGCACAAAAGAGTGTTGATCCTGTATTCACAAACAGCACTGAACAGAAATGTGTTGATTTACCAGAGGGGTCGAGGTTTTGCAGGTTAGCATGGCCCCATTAGCACCTGCTGGTAGATGCTGAAACTAAAAAGCATCTCTCTCCTTGGACAGGCATTAAAAAAGCTTGCTATGTAATTTTTGAGTGCCATTTAGCCACCATGACCAATGATTTTCAATTGTATACTTTCCCTTGTGAAAAAGAAGTGCACTTAATTGTATTGAATGTGCACTTGTGGTCTACTTCAAATCATAAAAGTATATATATTTTTTTTAAATGTACTTGCAGATAAAATAATAATGAAATAAAGGCCATTGAAGTCTACT